ACACAGGCTTTTGGCAACAGGACCCGGCCCACCGGCATCCATCCACCCACCTATTCATCCATCCATCCATCCATCCATCCATACGGCGGGCGAGTGGCAACGTTTCTGAAAAGTGTAAATCAAACTAATTGAATGTTTTTCGCCGAGCGCACAGCCGGTGCCAAGGATATATAGCTGCGATGCTGCACGCCCCGTTAAGCGGCCAGATAGTCGCGCAACAAAAACGAAATCGACAACGAAATCGAAAACTGGAGCACCCCTGTGATGATAAGAAATTCAATTTCGCCCGATGCACACGCTTCTGGTTGAGTGCCGCACGCTCCTTTGACAATTTGATTTGGCAAATATCGCGCATACGCAGCGTTGCTGGGGCCAACTAATCAAAGGCCCATAGAGTCAAAGGGTCGAAGTCGATTTGGCTAATAGTAGCTATTCATTAGCACCTTACAGCGAAAAAGTGATGTATGCCTAAGAAGCCAGCACTCAAATTACGCATGTAAAACGCTGCGAAAAGAAACTTATCAATGGCCCTTTGAAGTAGATGGAATTTAGCTAGGTTTGCAAATAGGCACGATGCATTGAACACACATTTTGACTTGTCGTCAAGCTTCTATATTATTTGTATTCGCACATTTTGGAAAAATTTGACCAAAACAACAATTTTCAGATGATAATGCCGTCTGTCTTTTCTTTATCTTGTTACACAAAAATCTCTACAGTTTTTGACAGGAAAATCAGAATCATGATTTTCTTAAGGTGGGCTAACTTTAAAAAAAAAAAAAAACGAAAACGCAGTTTCTTTGCAATATCCCATAACTTGGCCAATTTCAATGCGATTCCAATTTATTGGCGATTTGGAATTTTATTGCGAGTTTAACGAGGTATGACATTCCACATTCTGAGCATTTTTTGTTAAACAAGGCGTTAAGCAAAGGGAGTACAAACTGAATATCCCACATACGCACCGTTGCCGGCGGCCAACTAATCAAAGGACCACTGAGCCACCGAGCTGCCAAGCTGTCGAGCTGCAGGATCTTGGCTCGTTCAACTAATAGCCACTATTCATTAGCCGGCAAACCGTCGAATCAATTTGCAACGAACCCTTTAAGCTGCAGTTAAGACGGCTCCCCTTTCCCCTTCACCTGCATTTGTCTGCGGCTGCGAATTGCCGTTAACTTAATGAGCATTTTAGCCATAAAATCACTTGGCATGGCTCAATTGCCACGGCGCTGGCAGCCGGCACAATTTATTTGACTGTTAATTAGAAATTTAAGTTATGCGCTTAGCCTCTGCTCTCGAAGAGCCACTTCCTAGCCGCCGCCGATTAATTCTCTCCGTTCGCCGTTCAATTGGCGCTGCACAAAATTAATTGCAGGCAAAGGCGAGGAAAAGGCAGTGGCTGTGGAATCGGCAGCGGCAACGGCAACTGCAACGGCGACGGCAGCCAGCGCCTTGGAGCATCGCATCGTTTGCGCCCTGGCAAATTCGAAATAATTTATAATTTGGCACAATTACGCCCAGCCGCAGGACGGCTTCGTTCTACGTCCTTCGGCAAGTGCTCCTTGCCGCAGGACGAGGCCATGAACCGGTCTGATCTGCTCCGCGGGTTTCGAGTTCGAGCCCCGGGCTTTGGTCTTGGGCCCGGGGTTATATGGGTCATTTGCCATGCAATTGCATTCTATCGATTTTCCTCTGCTCTGCCGGAGATGTAATAAACTTTCACTTGTTTTGTCGCCGTTGCCGTTGCTTTTGCCGCGAGGCGGGAAAGCGGAAAGGCGGGAAAGCGGAAGGGCGGGAAAGCGGAAGGGCGGAGAAGCGGAAATCAGCGGGTGCCGAGGGAAAGTTGCGGACGGTGGTAAACACATTGCTCATAGCCAAAACATTTGGCACACTGCCCCGCCAGACAGCCAGGATGCACTGCCAGAGAAAGTGGGCATAAAAGCCATTATGGAACCACAGAACATAAAAGCCAACCAATCCTAAACTTATTCTATCTCTAGTCAGTAATTTAGAGCACTGTTTTATTCATGGAAAGCAGGAAAAGAGTTTCCACCCAGCAGCAATAGAAGTGCTCGCCTTAAATGCAGGAATATTTTGGCCTCACTAAGCTCCAGCTTAAGTGACCATAAACTTTCGGATTGCCGGATTAAACGGGGATAAATCTCATTTTTTTCTCTCCGTGCAGCAACACCAGCAGATTTAGCTGGGATTGTCAAGTGGTTTTTGGCTCGGTCCCGAGATTTGGCTCCGCTTTTGTGATTTCTTTTCAGCTGGTCCATTGTTTGCCCAGAAATTGGGTCAATAGCCTTTCGGGGGAGGTGTTCTGCCCGCAGCTGCTGGCGATCCTGCTCCTGTTCTCCCAGCTTTTCCTGTTTTTCCTGCTGCTGCTGCTACTACTGCTGCTTCTGATGATAATGACGGGGATGATGGCGATGGCGACGGGCAATGGCGATGGCCATGGAGATGGAGATGGGCAGCTCGGTGATGAGCAGTGGGCCTGGCCCGGACTTGCAGCCATTGTTTCAACTTCTGTGCTTGTAATTTCCTCCTGCTGCACATGCAGCGTGCAACACAACTCAGTCCGGCTGGCTTTTCACTTTCCACTTTCCACTTTTGTTGCTGCCGCACTGATTACGGCTGCTTGTTAGTGCGTTTGACTGTGCGGTTTTTATGCTCGTTTACATGCATGTATTTGTATACCGGAGTCCTTGCCAAGCGCACTAAGCACCGAGCACCCAAAACACACATTTTAGCTTAATTTGCAACTTGTTAGATGTTAGCTGTTAGCTGATGGCTGATGGCTGTTGGCTGGCAGCAGAAGAGTCTCCCTCGGTCTCGCCAAAAACTCATGTGTAAACAAATCAAACTTGAAACTAAAGCTTAGCCCCGAACATTTCGCAATAATGAGCAATGCTCGGGGGCCAAAAGAAAACTTGGTCTGGCCCCGATCCGATCAACGAGGGCAACAAGTTGGCCCGAAGAAGAAGCCAACATTGTTAAATCAGCTTTAAGCTGCAGCTATTTGCGGCCCTCCTCCCGAAGCTCGAGCTCGAGCTGTTTGTCTGCCAAGAAGCGGCGATGTTTGCCAAGTTCCTTTTCATTTCGGTGAAACAAAGGTCCTTCCAATCGACAGCCCCCTCCTCCTCCCCCTCCTCACTTGTCCCGATTCCGGACTTAGTCGACTGGCGTTGTTTAAAATGCGTAACCATATCCCGGCCATGAATTTATGCAGTCAACTGTATAAAAGGCGTAAAGTGTCCGAGGACCATCAGTGGCATCGTGGCTCAGTGGCATCGTGGCTCAGTGGCATCGTGGCTCGGGTGGCCGGTTGCGAGGAGTTTGTTTTGGTGGGGGAAACCGCCGCAAGGACTCCACTCCAGAGCAGCATCCGACCGACGGCCTCTTCATTTATTTCATGCTTCATTGCATTGCGATATGTGTCGGGAAGCAGACAATCAGGCACTCAGAAAAACAAGTGATAAGAAATCGAAGGTGGAGTAATAGTACTTAAAATACTGGTGTATTTTCATGCTATACATATATTTCTTAAATAGCTTGTATTTAAACTCCATTCTGTTTTTTCTAGTTTCTCTAGGAAGGTTCAACTCCTTTCCATTTCAGGTCAATATCCATTTCTCCCTCTGCGTCTTAAACCTCCAGAGCCTGGGAAACACACTGGACACCAACTCCTTGTGGGACTTGTTTGGCCAGCACTACTCGTCCTGGTTGTTTTTATTCAATTACCAATTCGAATGCTGACATTGCCCCACGCCAGTCGATAGTCGATAGTCGATCGCCAGCAGCTGCAGCCGTTTGTCTTGCCAATTGGCCGAACCCATCAACAAACCGAGCCAGCTGGAGCATTATTGTAATTCAGCCAGCTCGACCCGCTCTCGATTTTAAATTGTTTGGAAGCAATAAAAAGTTTATCAAGTGTAAAGCGAAAAACAGCGCACGAAGCCCTTGACTTTCGGCACTCAGTGTTAATTGTTCTGAGCTTTAAGTTTGGAAACGGTGCCACATTTCAAGGACCCTGCTGGCAGGGCTTAAGTCGGACTAAAAGTAATACAAAACAATGGGCCAACACCCACACACACACACACACACACACAATCACACAAAGCAGAAGAGCAGAGAGAGAAAAACGCACAGCAAATAAATCAATTGGCTTTGCCTAAAACGTTCGAAATTGATTTCAAGTTCTTCGGCCCATTGTTTTTATATGCAACAAAGGGACAATTTTTCATTTCCAGCGGCAACAATAAAAGCAATACAAGGTCCTTTTCATGGCGGCACACACTTCATGGCGGCCGACACACACATGCGGTCGATCCCTGGGCATGTAAATTGGCCGCATTGTTTATGAGCCCGGCCATCCTGCGAGTCCTTCGACCAGCCCCCCTCCTTCTCCTCGAACCCCATGTTCTCCGAAGAGTATTGATTGTCAATTCAGTTTAAGCGCCGGCCATAAATTCAGTAAATGACCAGCGTCCAGCCGAAGCTGCCGCCATTCTTCTTAATTTTCCGAAATGCACAAAAACAATTTTCAAATTGCACGAAAGACGCCCGCAACGCGGACAAATGAGGAATCCATTTCTTAGGGTAATAGTTTGGTTGTGTTATAAATTCCAGGGAGCATTCGGATAGAACAAAACGATCATCAATTTGTTTGTGGTTGTATGACCTATTTTAAAGATTTAAAGAGCTAAACAAATCCTTCTGCTGAACTGCGTGTTATTTCAAAGTCAAAGGATATCGGATTGCACTTGAAACGCGTGAGGAGGGAGCTCATGTTTGGTCATTAGACCCGACACATTGTCAACACGTAACAACTGCCAACTGACAGCCGTCAACTGTTTATGTTTGCCATTTACCAGGCACAACATTTTGATTACGCATACGCCATGTGGACCCAAGCGAGGTTGGTTGCTTTGACAGGCGCCTCGAATTCGATTGCGCCCATAAATAAAAGTCGGCTGCTGGTCATCAGTCGATTGGAGATGCACCCGCTGCTTGTTTGTGTTTCGGCGCTTTGCTTCTGTCGGCTTTGTGGAGCGGGGACTCCACTTTGCCGGGATTGCCGGGTGAATGTCATATATCCGGATGCGGAAAAAGTGCCGGAGCAAGTGCCAAAAAGTCAACGAATAGTGCGCATCATCAACGAATTCAGGCGAATCAGCAGGGAAGAATTGGAACGCAGAGATCAAATCAGGACGCATAACTTGCAGGCCAAGGATCTCCGCTTTATAGCGAAGGTGAAGGTCGGGAACTCCACTCGATGCAGTGCAGCCTTGGTGGCCCCCAGCTTGGTGATCAGCTCCAGTGTTTGCTTTCGAAATGAGAGCCCCCAGCAAATTGAAGTACTTTTCACTGGTGGGAAAAAGTTCGAAGTGGATAACGTAGTTAAAGCGGAGTTCTGTCCCGAACTCATCCTGCTCCACCTGAAAACTCCTACTGCAATAAATCCGATAAACATAAGCCATCAGAGCCTGCAGTTGGGCGATAATGTCTCCATGATGATGGCCAGTCCAGATCTGAGTTTTTATGGCCGTCGGCGCACTAAAATCATTTCGAATCGTGCCTGCAAGTCAACTTTTATGGAGGAGGAGTCTGTTTTCATAACACCCAATATGGTGTGTGCTAAGAACTCCATTACTCCGGAGAAATGTGCCACTTTTCCCGGAGATGCTTTGCTGATGGACCACGAATTAAGTGGCTTGAATATTTATGGATTTCGTTGTTTTTTAAACGCACTCAATGGAGATTTTTATATTAACCTTAGTAAACTGCAGCCGATGATCAGTGATTTGATACGGAAACTTAATGGTTAAAAGCTGAAAATTTTAACTGAATCGATTAGATACAGATAAGAACTATTTATCAAAGTGAACGGATTTCTATTTGAAAGCCATTATGCAGCTAAAGAGTCTGCTAGTAATACCATTTGGTTTTCTTTCTATTTTAGTCTCTTCCCAATGGGTGCCACAAGTTAATGAGGGTGAAGTGCCGCCAAATGGAAGACCTTATCAGATTGTGCGGGTAATAGAGTACTTAGTACCCTATCCGTACCACAGATCACCGAAAATATCTGCCAGAAGTCAGAATGTTAACAGCAAGGAACCCAATAGCCTGGAGATTATTCCAGCTGAAATCGAAAGACTTCTAACGAATGATGAAGCCACAGAAAAACCAAAGACAGTCAAACACTTCCTGATGAAAATTCTCCACGAAAACAGAGTAATCTGCAGTGGAGCCCTAATCTCCAGTCGATTGGTTTTGACCTCGGCCCACTGTTTTCCCAGGACCTCCCGCAATCCTTTAGCTCATCAATACAAACTGCAAGCCAGTCGGAGTCGCATATATTCGGTGGCGAGTATAATTCGAGGGACCATTGAAGACATGGCCCTGATGTTGCTCCAGTCTCCGCTGCGGGATGCATTCGTTGAGCCCATTGGACTCTGTGCCACTCCTCTGCAGCGAAACGACAACGTCACCATGTTCATGTCGCAGCAGCATCTGCGATTCCTGCGCACCAAACTCATCGCCAACAGGAATTGCAAGCGCAGTTATGCCCAGGACGAGAACGCCTTCATCACCAAGACCATGTTGTGTGCCCAGAACTCCAACAGACTGGAGGACTGCCAGACGATGAAGGGGGATCTGCTCCTCCACCAGGATCGGGTGTGTGGGGTCGATATTTACGGGCAGCACTGCACCGATGGAGCTGTGAATGGAGAGCTCTACGCGGATGTCTTCAAGGCCAGGACACAATTGCAGCGATTGATCGAAAGATATTCCCCATCCGACTCTTAATGATGAATAATTAATCACGTATTTAATAAATATTCATACTGTAGGGTAGGGGAAAAGTATGCATGTAAAATTCATATTTTTATATCTTTGTTTTATTACTATTTAAGGTTAAATATTTACCTCTGCAGCTCAGCTCTGTGGCTCTGTAACCCAGTAACAATCCTCATGCCGAGAAATCAAGAGATGGCAAATACATTTATTGTCGTTGCTCAATGCTCGTGTGCTGCCCAAATCAAATCAATCTCACTAAACAAACACGGGAAACAAAAGGACGAGAGCGGGCGGAACTCAAAATGGCAAATGGAGTGAAGCCGCCTTCCGTTCCTCGATGGGAAAATTGAAAGTCGCCGAACGCAGCCAACAAAATCAGAGGAACACAAGGGCAATATTTTTGTAACATTTTATTTTCTTTCAATTTGCGGCTTAAAAAAGTTAACTGCTCCCATCAAAATGCCCTGAACTGCAATGACTATGATGTATGTAAATTTGAGCGGGACACAAAAAGAAAATTGTAAACCAAAAAAAAAGGAAAAAAAAACAAAAACAGACACGACCAAACCCCCTAAAAACATCATGACAGCAAAAAGGTGTTACACTTGGCTTGAAATTTACACCATCGGTGGGCGTGGCAACAAAGGGCTTCTGTGGCAAAAAGGGGGGCCACTGAAGAGCTGAAAAAACCCCCGAAGCTGCGCCGGCGACCATGGCTTTTGGCTTTGGCTTTGCGCTAAAATATGCAATTTTGTCATGAAATATGCACATGTCCACCGCGCGGCAAGGACGATCCGCCAGAAGCCAACCCCACTATCGGCGACAGCAACAAAATAAATTTAAAAAGCAACATACATAAATAAATTAAACATTTTAAAAACCCGACGGGAATAATGAAAGATATAAAAGGCGCGGACTGAACGAACACGGAACTGCCCTACGCGGGGATTAAGTTTATTAATAATACAACTCTTCTTCGGCAAATTAAGTACATAAAAATCATGTGTAAGGGAGACATAAAATGCATTAGCTTAAGCAAAGAATTAGCCAGATAAAAGCGCATTGGGGCATCAATCTGGCCGAGAGAAAAGTCGGCTAGTTCGCCAGCCACACCCACCATTTGACATTTAAATGCGGCGAAGCCTGTCGAAAATGTTGCCGGCAACATCAACGCGAACAACTAAATTTATGTACATAGAAATTAATATTAAAGAAAAAACGAACGCTGAATAGCATGTTCTCGCATAAAAGGATGATGGTATTAGTGCGACACGGATAATATTGAAACGGAAAACAGCAATGTCGCGCGCAAAACTTCGGCACTCGTGTGATAATAAAAACAATAAAACAAATATATTCCATTTGACTAAAAAATTGTTTCCCCGGGGGTTTCGGCTGGATAATGCGCCCCGACCACTTGAACCACTTAGCCCACTTCACCCACTTCACCCACTTCACCCACTTGGCCCACTGTGGCACCTCTTCTGCAGCGACCCGCTGACCCACCGCAAATATTTATTGTTTGACAATTTTTATTGCCTACTTTCAGGCGATTGTCGCTAGCGCAAAAACGGAAGCGCCGGCTAACAAAAAAGGAGAAACTTTTCAGAAAAATTCAAAAGGCGTTAAAATGATTTCGAGAAACTTTTGCCTTACGTGACTTTGGGCCCAGAGCATCGCCGGCCCGGCCTACATATTGTTCAATTTCCGACCGAGTCGCAGTCGGCCTGACTGAATCAAATAGGTGGCATAAACAGCAGCCGCCGCGGCAGCAAAAGTGTTCGGGGACCCGGCGCTGGGCATAAAATAAAAGTTTTCCACTTAAGGTTTATGAAAAGTTTAAGTCCGGCAGGCCGAAGGGCGAATCCAACCCACCCACCAACCACCACCCACCGCACACATTCACACCTATAGCCTTCGAATGCGGAAGCGGAAACTACGGTCGAAAAATGATGAATACCCACTCCGGCCGAAGGACTCGAACCCGGGACCCTTCGATCCCCGGCCGATACACAAAACACACTCCAGGGGGACGCATCCTTGGACCGCTCCAAGATTTCCCCCAATGAGGAAGCGCCGCCCACCGACTTTCCCGGTCATAACCACTTAGGAGCCGCCAAGTTTTCATCGGTACAGTAAGGCGGCCGTGGAAAACTCCCCGAATGCAAATAATAATGTAATTGCCAGCCATTTGGCTCAAGTCTGTTTACCTTTCGCTTCAGCGCTGTTAAACTTTTATGAGATTCGGACTGAATTTTAAAGCATTTACACCTGGCCCGCGATGACAAATGGGCAAATGAATTGAACCCGATTGCGGGGCTGAGAGCCAATTTAAAATCCCCCGACTAATTGCAGGTCGGGCCACTAATTGAGTGCAAGTCAAGCAAATCGCCTAATTAGCAGCGCCCATCTAAGCGGACTACGATTGCCGGCCGAGGACCCAGAGCCGATGAAAAGGATATGCAATTTGCACGGCCAGGACACTTGATCTGAGCCGGCGCGGAAAATTGACAGGCAGGCCGCGGCATTCCGGTTTAATGCGCTATTAATTGGCTGCTTAGCGGGCCAGCAGTTGCCATTCCCTTTTCTGCCTATAGACTATAGACTGTGATCACAGAATCCTAATGATTTCTGAATTGTAGCATCAATAATTACCTTTTCTAAAATAGGTAACTACAGCTTATATAATATTATATTTCTGACTAAAAAGTCGCACAATGTATTATGTTCCTTAACCAAATAAGATTAGGTAGAATTTTTCTCTTCACTCCTAGGTAAAATTGCTTAACACAAAAAATAATTCCGAGTGCACTCGTACGACTGGTGGTGTATGCAAATGAGCGTGCATATTTTTTCGACTCCACTTACGGTCTAAGTGCTAGGCCGGAGTACATTTCGAGAACGCCCTCGGATGTCGCCGGGAAGACCACGTGCCAAGGGGCCACCACGTGCCTCGGGGGCCAACCACGTCGCCCGCTGACTTTTCATAGATTTAGGAGTACATTTTTCTCTGGGCCACAGCACCACGGCACCACTTTGCCGCTGAGCCGAACGCACCGCACAATTTGGTGGGTGGGTACGTGCCACGTCCACGGAAAACCACCGATGTCACTGTCTCCCGAACATCCACACGTGGAGCAGACACACATATTTATTTGAGCTGCGCATAATGAGCGTTATTTATATTTAAGCAGCTGCGGAGCAGACGCAAATCGTAAATAAAACGTTTTAATTTATTAGGCAAATGATAATTTTGCGAACGCATAGGGGCAGAAAACGCCATAAAACCGATGTGATAATTGCAAAAACGGAGGCCCAAGGCCCGAATACGTTTAACCCCAGGACAATCAATCAAATTAACCCAGTGCCCAAGGCCAAGTAGCCAAATGCCCAAATTGATTTGTTGGCCTTCGGGCAAGGTCGGCCTTTGACGTCGCCAGACGTCTAAATTGAATCAGTTAGCGTTGGTGTAGAAATATAATTGGGCAAAGTGAAAAACTAATTGAGCCTAAAGAACCCAGGCAGGTTAACCTAAGGCGATTGATTTTCTAACTTCAGCTTAATAATTAAATATACAGTGTGTGGTTACATAAATAAATAGTAAAACTGCATATCCAAACAATTTATTTGAATTGAACGATTCTTTTTCTGTTAAACAATACTTAAAATGGCTAATTGATCTAAGCACCTGCGGCTTCCTACTTTCAGCAGATTCTTTTTCCTTTTCAAATTATTATTGCATCTCTGGGTTCCATTAGGACTCGGCCAGCTCCTTCGTCCTGAAAGCTTATTATGATAATTGGAAATTATATGTAAAAGTGATGACTTAGCGGCCAGGGGCCCCGAGACAATCATCCCGGCCAAACTAGCATTTGTGCCGCATTAATCAGATTATTAATGGCGCACAAAAGAGCGATACGGCAGTGAGGGCAGGGAGCCGAACGTAATTGAATACTAATGCAATCAATTAAAGTTGAACTCCGGCACACGTGCAAGGACGCGGGAGTCGCAGGATAAGACTTGGAGCCTCTTCCGGCCAAGACGCAGATGCCACGGAAGCCGAAGTGGAAGTGCAGTGACGGATGGTCCGATGCTGATGCCAATGCTGATGAGTTCAATCAAGTTGTAAACATGATTCCTCCACATTCTATTAATGCGCCGACAGTCTCAGTAACTCAATACACAATCAACGGCGTTTTAGAGTTCATTTGCGTGGTATAAAAAGGGAAATCAAATCATAAAAAATAATACGCCGCTTTGTGGAGGTCGGGCAGCAGCAACAGGATGTGTGTTTGGGTGGTGGGTGGTGGGTCCCACCAGCAGACAGTTGCGGAGGAAAAGGAATCAACATCGGCAAGTCCTTACCTTTGGCATTCCGCCGGAGAAGGCTGGGTCCTCCTTCCGCTTCTCTGTTCAACTTCAAATTGATGCAATTTATGAAAACTTTTGTGCGCTCAATTGCAAATACAAGTGTACAAGTGTACAATCTCTGTCATTTTTATGCACTTCCCCTAGTTATGCCAAAGCAATTTCTCTCTTTTGGCAAGTTTGCTTTCGTTTTCGCCCGAGTTCCCATCTTGATTTCCCAACCTTTTTTACCATTTCACGTACTTCTGGCCCTGGAATCCCTTCCTTTTGCGCCGTTTCCCCTTTCCCCACTCGAGCATTGTGCGGCAAATTAAGCGCATTGCAAGTGATTTGATTTGCCTCTATATAGAAAATACTTCAAATTTCCTTTGCCATAGCAGCAATCGCTTTAAAGCTCCCAGAGAACGACTGCGAACGAAAAGTAATTCCCAGCTAATGACTGTCATTTGTATCTGAGAATGAAATGTGCGCCACTCCTGACGGCGTTTATTTATTTTTATTGCAAAGGCACAGCGCGTGTCTGTAATTACCGCCAAGCATTCAAAGTTCCGCCAACGAATTATGGCGTTTAATAATTTTGAGTGAGTGCAGCGGTGCCGGAGATCCAATGCCTCAAACAACTCCAGGCGGGAGTAGCCAGGCGGAACTGCACAGGACTGAACGTAATAATTTAGGAAAGTAATTCAATGAAGTGGTAAACAAAAATTAAAGGTAT